CCCCATAAAGTTAAATTTTGTGTATTGTAGTATGACTGTAGAATTTTTTAATGCAATTCTGAAAACTGTAGGTTGAGTTTTGAAATTTTCATTGATTTTTTTAAATATTCTGGTTTGGAATTTTCGTGATTTGAAATGAATTTAGAAAAATAACCTTAGTTACACAATAATGCGTTCTAATTTTGGAAAATTTTATCAATGATTAAATTTTATCAATGTTTTTACTTTAACAAACACTTTAGTTTTTCGTAAAAATTGCACTAATAAAAAAGTTATGAGCGTTTGAATAAAGATGGTATTTTGAGGAAATTGAAAATTCCATACCAGAAAAATGATAAAATTTGGGTGTGAAGGTAGGGGTGCAAGAAATGCATTTGCTGGTGCATGCATTGTCTGATTGGTCTGAAATTTGGTATGTAGTCTTGATATATATTAAAGTTAATGTATGTAAAATTTTATTTCATTCGGACTACTGGAAGGGTCCTATTAGGTCCGAGGACACAGTTATCTACCTTCAATTTTCGTTGTCCACAAATGTAGTTCCCTTTAATTTCAGTGTTTTTTTTCTTTGTCTTTTTTTGGAATTTTTCATTATTTGTTTGCATTTAGGTGAAAGATAAGACTTCAAATATACTGTCTGGAAAAAATCTTTTTGAAATTTTCTGTAGAAATGAGTGATTTGGTCAGGTAAATAAAGGTGGAATTTCCTCTTCTCGGAAGCTCTCTGGCTTCATCCTTACCGGTGTCCTTATGTTTGGGGTTACCAGGAGAGAATGAGCTGGTAGACTTTTCTGAATTTTTGATATGTTTTGGGATAAAAGTCAAACTTTATGCACACCAAATCTTTTTAGAATAGAGCAGGTGAAATTTTTTTTAATTGCCATTATGTTTTAATAGACAAATAGGGGAAAATAACTGTGTTCTCGGGCCTTTTGTTAAAATATATTTTTTTACTTTTTTGGTCTGTTGGAAAATGTTTGTTGTGCTGTATTTAGACCCCTCTAACAAGTAATTTGTTTTGCATGCACACGTATAAAAATTGCGGTTTTTATCCAACGCAATCATAGGTTTGAACGTTGTTTTCAATTTAGACTTGAGATAATAATATATATATACAAAGACATTTACAGTTATTAACCCAGAAAAGTGCAATGTGTTGTAGATCTCCTTATTAGTTTACACAGCTTTTTTAGTTCTGAACATGTTTTGGAATTCATTTTATTGTCACAAATAGAAACTGGGTGTATCTTGTGACTGGGTTATGTGTGTTGGCCTGTAACCATACACACACAATAGACAATAGACTATACGACGAGCCTGCACCGATTCTGACTCTGGTGACTAACTCTAACTCTAACAACAAATGACGACTAGGGTTTCCGCGATATATTATTTAATAGTTCAGCATGGAAAACAATTGTACAGAGTTGGAAATACACAGTGTATTCCTAAATCCAATCTGCCATATCAAATTAGAAAACAGTTTATATAAAAAATCAAAAATGATTTGAATAGACTTGTCAAATATTTCTCTAAATGAGTGACAAATACAACTAACGGATTACAGAAAAATTAACACATAGATAAAAATTAACAAGAGAACATACAGACTTATTTATGGAATTAAACATATAAGAATAATAGATAAATTAAAGTAAAATCTTGCTAATTGAGAAATAAATTGAAACATGAAATTAGATAAGCTTAATTTTCCAAACTTGACTTAAACATTTCACAATAAAATTTATGAAAATCCCTAAGAAATATTGCATATACAAGAAAAAAAAATGATTTTACGAAATTCTTTTATATACCGTAATGTCCGAAAAGTCTATAAATCAATTTATTTTAGTCATGGAACTTCAAAGTGTTAGGTGTATTCCTATTATGAAATTTGATACATTGTTTTCTACAATCATCAAAAGCTGAACAATTAAAAATATAACGATATTCACCACCAGTACCATCTAAATTGCACCCTTTATGCTTCTTAATTTTGTTACTGCCAGTATCAATGGTAATTTCATATTCAGAGTTCGAAATTTTTAAAAATAAAGATATATGTTTGTCATCCAAAATACTGAACTGTTTCTCAAATTCCAAACTATTCTTATATAAACGGTAGTTTTATGCTTGTCTTGAACCTTTCACAAAAAAATTAACAAAATCCCTAGGAGAAATATTGCAAATACAAGAAAAACAATGATTTTACGAATTCTTTTATAAAATGTCAAATCGTGTAAATTTTTTCACTGCGACCACTATATATTATTCATACATTTTAAAAACATTATGATAAAACTCCCTTGTGATATTTTATTCTACGATGAATAGTTTTCGAAATAGCTGTAATGATGGAGCATCATATAAAAATAAGAATATGTGGTATGATTGCCAATGAAACACCTCTCCACAAGAAATTAAATGACACAGAAATTAACAACTATAGGTCACCGTATGGCCTTCAACAATGAATAAAACCCATACCGCAAAGTCAGCCATAAAAGGCCCCGAAATGACAAATGTAAAACATTTGAAACGAGAAAATTAACGGTCTGATTTATGTACAAAATACTGAACGAAAAAACAAATATAATATACAGCAACAAACGACAACCACTGAGTTACAGGTTCCTGACTTGGGACAGGCACATACATAATGTGGCAGGGTTAAACATGCTAGCGGGCGCCCAACCCTCTCCCTAATCCTGGGACAGTGGTGTAACAGAACAATACAAGAACTGTAGAAAACAATAAACAAACAACACATATGATCAACAGCAACAAACAACAACCTCTCAATTACAGGCTCCTGACTTGGGACAGGCATATATAGAATGTGGCGGGGTTAAACATGTTAGCGGGCGCCCAACCCTCCCCTAACCTGGGACAGTGGTGTAACAGTACAACATATGAACAAACTATAAAAAGTAAAATTACAAAAATACCGAACTCCGAGGAAAATTCTAAACGGAAAGTCCATAAGAAAATGGCAAATTCAAAAGCTCAAACACATCAAACGAAAGGATAACAACTGTCATATTCCTGACTTGGTACAGGCATTTTCTTATGTAGAAAATGGTGGATTAAACCTGGTTTTATAGCTAGCTAAACCTCTCACTTGTACAAAAAATCAGTTGAAAAGGGCTTAATTCATCAGATCGATACAAAGCACAAAAACAAGTAACAAAAACACAGAGTGGACGTGGCAGGGTACTTATACATCCCCACAACAAAAAGTCACTTAGTACAGATCTGATCTAGTACTCGCAGTTACTGACAGCTAGTTCAAAGCCAATTACAACTAATAATAAAAATCATGCATCTAAGACTAAAATATCAATCAGTACACATCCAACATCCAATGGATTAAGTGTAAAGACGTCAGTATCAGTCAGAGAAAAACATGGTCTTGTGCAATGATGTTAAATATTAAGAAAAAATTTTACTGCACTTTTTTGTAATTTAAATATATTTTTTTAAATGTTAGAATAAGTTGTTAATTATCATGCATTGCAATAGTAGTCTAAAAGGGGTAAAATATAACTTTCTAAGTATAATAATATGACATCTGTCAATTGGGAGATATGTTCTTAAACGACACATCAAACCAATTACACCTTATTTTCTAATTTTTTTTTACATAAATAACCCATACGAAAGCTTTATTAAATAATTTATCTATTCTGGCATTAATACTTTGAATTGTAAATATGAATGTTCTAAATCAACAAAAATCTGCAAATAATGTGTTAAGTCACCGATCTAGAAGTGTAAGTTCAAAATTGTGTTCTTTTCATTATCTTAGTTTTTACCAGTCAAACGATTTGTTCTAAAACACATGCCCCTCCTCTCCACAAAAGATGAATTGCGTCCGCTTATTTTGAGTATGCCTTGCTTTGCTTTTCAGTGACTTTTTCAGAATAGATCCTGTAATGTTTTGTTTGAAAATTATACGGTGCATGATTAGATTTTGTTAGATGGACGAATGTGGCCTTAAATTAATCAAATCGACTTTTTATGTTAAAACATAGGCAGATCAGTCATAATTTGACTTCATTCACTCACTGATTCCGTTCATGTTGTGACTGAAAAATACTTTTTTTCTGTTAAAACACTCTTTTAATGTTTTTAAGACTTGAACATATAAAAGAAGGACAGAAAAAGCAAATCATAGCTATAACTGTTTATCGACAATTATTTTTTTCCAATATCTTTTAACATCAGAATTGCTATCAACTAACGTTCTGGTATAAAACACGCAAGAAAAAAATCAACAGGTAAAACAGGCAAATGTGAAGCAATAACAATTTCATCCAATCGAATTGCGTAAGATTCAATAATAACTACCACCCACGAATTAAGGTGAAAATGGTATAGGAAAAATATGACAGTTTTACAATAACCATTATGTGTATATCGGCAAAATTTCCGATCTCTCATTAGCGTACTTAAATTTTAGGCTATAGAAAGTGTTGCCTTCAATAGTCAACAACATTCAACGGTTGATTTCTATAGCTAAGTTTGCCATTTTAGAGCGATTACTCATTAGCATATAACTCTTTAAACACTCTCATTCTTTTTTTATTTAGTGGTATTGTCATAATTCCCTCATAAAATTCAATAATGCTGTGGGATATAATCACAGGCACTTGTCTCAGAAAAAAATTTCCTATATACCTTAATATAACAGTAACAGTGTTATATTAAGGTATATAGGAAATTTTTTTTCTGAGACAAGTGTCTGTGGATATAATCAGTTATTTTATTAGTTTCGTGTGCTTTGTATCTTTAACTTTTGTCTTTATCTTTAAAAGGTTACATTGTCTCGAGTCGGCTAAAAGATTAAAATACTAGTACATGTACACCGACTCTCTGGACTTCGTCACTTGATTTCATGACGTAGTCTAAATCTTACGAAATAATTAATACCTGTATAATGTTTCTATAAATCCATATACTATTTATAGTTTTTCTTTTAGCATACCTGGTTTTTTTGCACACGACACGTTTGTTTTCATATACAACCACCCGTTTGTTTGCGTACTGTCATGGACACGTGTTTGTAAAGGACTGAGCCTGCAAAATATGGCAGCACCCGGTAAGAACTCTTCTTGATTTAAATTTGTATCATCAATAATAAGAAATTATACAAAAATTTGTAAACAAATGAATTATCTATCAAAACGATACAACTTAATTTAATGTATCATTTTTCAGATAGTAAACATAATCTTGTTGACTGGTATGGAATTGGACATAATCGCGCATTTGTGAAGGATAATATACAGCTATGCATTATTTAACCCTTATTTAATCATGCAGCTTTAAAAGGGTGGTTTAATAATGGGGAATTTAATTGTATCAGTATTTTGAACATAATCATGGAAAGAACAATACACCTTTTGAAGTTGTATATTTTATAAGTGTGCTTTAATGAGTGCTTGCTGCCTGTTGTGTTCTAATCAGTTAATGTGTATGTCTTGGTGCCAATAATTCTATTGCATATATACCAATGAATGATCGTTTGAATTGATTTGATTTGTAATCCGATTTTGCTCCCTCAAAAACCACAAAAATCCACATATCTATAGAATAAAGATTCATGTTTTGCGCCAACTAGCTCACAGGCACTTGTCTCTGAAAAAAATACCTATATTTTAAGTAGAAATAAAGGCAACAGTAGTATACCGCTGTTCAAAAGTCATAAATCGATTGAGAGAAAACAAATCCGGGTTACAAACTAAACCCGAGGGAAAATTGCACATTATATTAGCCGAGACTTTTGTCTTACAAACCAATGCAATACTATATAACAGTAAATGAAAATAACATTTTATAAATTGTGTGCGTCCGAAGAGCTTTTATGGATTTACCTTCATCAGGACCGATAAACCCAAACATTTGAAATCCAAGGATGTACAAGTACCTGGACACCTGGAGAACAGTATGACCAAAAGCACGGCCACCAATCCAACTAAGTCATACACAAATAATATGAAAACAAGTGCTTTAATCCGACTTCCGAGTATGCAGTAGAAGTAATAAACAATCAAGAATTGCTATACATTCACAAGGTAAGTCACCTATTTATATCATAAGCTTTATATTTTTCAAAAAACCGAGAATGTCATTCGACCCTTTATTTTGTTTTCCTTCATGTGTTATCACAACTTTGTTGTACATTGAGTAGTATTTTTACTACAGCTTTTCTCCCGGTGAATAACGACACAATCTGCACGAAATTCTTACCGACATCTTATGTTATTTGTTAATAAGACACGTTATGCATGAGTACTGTTACATTTATTGATCGGTGTGATATATAAATCAGTTCTAGAAAGCAAAATACTTTATAATTGTACTAATTATCAAATTATCGCAACAAAATTAAGAATGTATGGTTAAGAAGGACCATATATGACTTAAAAGTAACGAGTATGATTAAGTAAGAGATATTTTAGTAGCCAACATGATGATGTTCTTTTACACAATGTCAATGTTAATTATGAATAAATTCATTTTTAGGTACCGTCCTTCCTTTAGGGAATATATATCTTACAGTAATAACTAGCCTGTAAGTATGAAGGTTTAAATTCAACCCTGTTAAGTCGGATGCGCTCGACTCCTGTCTTAGTTGACTGGGATTGCCAGTTTTCTTAACCGAAGACCGGAGTGTCTACTGGAAGCCTTCAACAATAAAAGAAAACTAATAGTCGAAAACTGAGCTAGCAAAACAATCCATTTAATGAAACACGCAGATCAAAACTATTTGCCTGGAAATGCAAATAATTATTGTACGCATCTATTTGCTATTTATCGTTATAAACAAGTTAGCAACAAGCATCTCATGTATAAATATTCTCGTCCTAAATTCATTAAATGAAGTAATCTTAGTTTAACAGCTTCTAACAATCTAACAATGTTTATAAAAATAAGAATACTCGCTCGAAAAGTAAATAACCTCTCAACCAGAACCTTATATAAAGAAATGGATGTCTTTGATGAAACGTTAACAAAATGAGACAGCAAACAAACGACAAAAATAATCAAATAACCAACATTGGACAACAAACACACAGTTTCAGCTCTCTATAATTACAAAGGAAGGTTGAATACGAATGTATTTAAATAGAATTCTAGATTAAAACGGAATGAGGCAAAATGCAAAGCGAAAACTAGTGACGGATTAAAAAAAAAGAGGGAGGGGGGGGCCGATGATTGAAATCGCTTTTTTCTTTGACGACCAATTCATCAATGTTGTATCTGTAATAGTTCGAAAAGAAAATCAATCTGTGAAGACCTTTGGTTCATTGTTGTTACATTTGCCTGTGTGCTCTTTAAAGCTGCTTGGGAAAGAAAACATTTTTTGGCAGTTTTCACATTGATACCGACCCATATCATGTTTACTGCGTTTATGTCCAGCCATCTGGTATTTGGTGCTGAATCTTTCATAACATATCTCGCATTCAAATTCCTTTATTCCAAAATGAATATTTTGCTCATGCCTCTTGTGAGATGTTTTGCTCGAAAATTCAATAGTGCAAAAGTTGCATTTTATGGAGACAACTTCGCCAAGATGCACAACTTTTTTATGCCTCGAGAACTTTCCTGACTGGGTATAACTGGCATCATATTGTTGACAGCTATATCTGCGAGTTGATCTAAGCATCTGAAATGTAAAGAGTAAAATGCAATTATGTAGTTGAGTATCCAGTATCAGACAGTATGTGTATAAAGGTTTATTAATGACGATTCATTTTTTTTAACAAACGGAAGGACGGACAAACGGAATCCCCCACCACTGTATATGTCCGTTGTAAAGAAAAGGAGTATATTTGTTTTTCAAAAGTGACAATAATTTGACGTTTTAGCAAAAAATACAGATTGATTTTCTTTTCGCACTATTACAGATACAATATTGATGAATTGGTTGTCAAAGAAAAAAGCGATTTCAATCATCGCCCTCCCCCTCCCCCTTTTTTTTAATCCGTCACTAGTTTTCGCTTTGCATTTTGCCTCATTCCGTTTTAATCTAGAATTCTATTTTAATACATTCGTATTCAACCTTCCTTTATAATTATAGAGAGCTGAAACTGTGTGTTTGTTGTCCAATGTTGGTTATTTGATTATTTTTGTCGTTTGTTTGCTGTCTCATTTTGTTAACGTTTCATCAAAGACGTCCATTTCTTTATATAAGGTTCTGGTTGAGAGGTTATTTACTATTCCGAGCGAGTATTCTTATTTTTATAAACATTGTTAGATTGTTAGAAGCTGTTAAACTAAGATTACTTCACTTAATGAATTTAGGACGAGAATATTTATACATGATATGCAGGTTGCTAACTTGTTTATAACGATAAATAGCAAATAGATGCGTACAATAATTATTTGCATTTCCAGGCAAATAGTTTTGATCTGCGTGTTTCATTAAATGGATTGTTTTGCTAGATCAGTTTTCGACTATTAGTTTTCTTTGATTGTTGAAGGCTTCCAGAAGAAACTCCGGTCTTCGGTAAGAAAACTGGCAATCCCAGTTAACTAAGATAGGAGTCGAGCGCATCCGCCTTAACAGGGTTGAATTTAAACCTTCATGCTTACTGGCTAATTATTACTGTTAGATATATATCCCCTAAAGGAAGGACGGTACCTAAAGATGAATTTATTCATAATTAACATTGACATTGTGTAAAAGAACATCATCATGTTGGCTACTAAAATATCTCTCACTTAATCATACTCGTTACTATTAAGTCATATATGGTCCTTCTTAACCATACATTCTTAATTTTGTTGCGATAATTTGATAATTAGTACAATTATAAAGTATTTTGCTTTCTAGAACTTATTTATATATCACACCGATCAATAAATGTACCAGTACTCATGCATAACGTGTCTTATTAACAAATAACATAAGATGTCGGTAAGAATTTCGTGCAGATTGTATCGTTATTCACCGGGAGAAAAGCTGTAGTAAAAATACTACTCAATGTACAACAAAGTTGTGATAACACATGAAGGAAAACAAAATAAAGGGTCGAATGACATTCTCGGTTTTTTGAAAAATATAAAGCTTATGATATAAATAGGTGACTTACCTTGTGAATGTATAGCAATTCTTGATTGTTTATTACTTCTACTGCATACTCGGAAGTCGGATTAACGCACTTGTTTTCATATAATTTGTGTATGACTTAGTTGGATTGGTGGCCGTGAAAAGGGACATAAAAGGTCAATTTTGCTTGAGAGGGTTATATTATAAAAGGCTCAAATACATTTTAGTATTTGATGGATGTAGCAGAATCCCAACAATTTTATTGTCTTTTTGTATTGTTGCTTGATGCTTATCTCATATTTATATAAATATCATTTTAACAGTAATATTCCACGGAAATTTAACTTAGTTTAAATGAACTTATTGATTTAAAAGGTTAACAAAGTTTGCACGATTTGGTCTAATATTTATATTGTCCCTAAACAATGATGTCCTAAAATAAGATCAATTAGAATTAAATACCAGTTCTTATTTCAAATACACGACATAAAGTAGCTCATCTACCTAGTTCATTACTGAGGTTATTTTCCAGATTGACAATTCAAAAAGGAATATTACCTGCAACTTGTCCATGTTTTTAGATGTATTTTTTTTTAAATTATGAACGCATGTACATTTTGTGATTAATCGATTATATATTACAAATTATAATTTGAATATTTCTTTTTGTATGCATTAGGGATTAACGGTTATATCATAATATGATTGTTAAGACTAGCGTTGAGTGTCAACAATATGGTACTTCGATTTGATATATATATATTTTATATATATATATATATAAAAGCAAACGAAATTGGCAGTATCGGTCAAGGGTCAAGTCAAAATTATATATTGATTCCTTTCTGTCTTTATTGAATATTTTTGAATAATATCAATCGCAGAATCTAAGTAACGTTCAATTTTTTGGCACGTAAAATGTCCTTCGATGTCTGCCTGTCTGTCTACGCACATCATATGCAACACATGTGATCCCATTCCAGCATATAAAAACAAAAGACTATATCGATAATTTTGTTAAAATGTCAGTTTTCATGATAAACATTGTGATGTGGATATTGCCAATTGTCAATGAAGGACAGGGGGACCAATAAACTGGCTATATTCATTATCAGACAGAACAGTTAACATATTTGAAGCTAATATATATATATATATATATATATATATAAACGAAAATTTTAAATTCTCTTAGCTACACACATCATTCATTATATGAATTTTAAGACTGCAATAATAAAAAGATCTTTTAAAATATTTAAACTTAATGCTGCTAAACACTTTCACTCCGTGCAAGAGCAACAGTGATAGACATAAATGACACCCCTACAGTAATGCGATGTATGAACACCAAACTTGGCATATTCAGCAAGACATACACATGAATATTCGACAGTCCTTGATTTCACATGTCAGACAATCCACAAATTTGAACAGTCTAACATTTCAACTGGTTGTTTAGTGCTAGTCATCACTACTGTCAATACTAATTCTTTCCAAGAACAATTGTTAAGTAAAACCAGCTGCCACACAGAACTGTGGTGGCATTAGATAAAGCTTTTCGCTTTTCAAAGTGTAACTTGAGCTGTACAACTATTTGCATATTTGGATTTTAGGGTTTTTGCCATCTTTTACAAGTTGCACATGCAATTACTGAACGTTTTTTTTTGTTCAATTTCATACTCAATGGCACTGAAACTGTTTAACTAGATCATATTTGTGACGTTTCTTCTGTTTCTTCCAACTTGTTCTCATTGAAGCCTCTGTTTATCAAAAATATGTGTGCTCAATGAATTGATAACTGTATTTTATTTTGTAGGTGGTTATGGAGGACCTCCACCTCAACGTAAGTATTTTCAATTGTTTCACGTGGTTTAAAAGGTTGAAATGCCAGTTCCAGTAGATTAAAATGCACATTTAAAATATGAAAAATTAGGCATTCAAACTTTTCAGTCGTTCGTGACAGACCGTTTTTATTGGTGATATTCTTAGATTGTCCAATGGCAAACTGTTTTACTTTATTATTATATATTGAATTAATTAACATATCCAGTTACATATTTCGTTGCAATATAGCATGTTCACGCTGATTTGATATTAATCAATCAACCAATTAATAAAATTTCATCGTTGTATGTAGAAAATTTTTAACTTAACTATTAATCTTTTTCTATACTATGTTCGTTTATTGCTTCCAGAATGGAATGCCGGCATGGGGGGACCACCTCCGGCTGATTTTCGACATGGTCAAGGGCCACCAAGGCATCCACTGGCCCAAGGCCCACCTCAGAGAGGCCCTCCACCAATGCAAGGGATGCCACAGTTTCAGGGATATGGTCAAGTCGGTGGTTTCGGACAAAGTAAGTATGAAGATTGATACAACATAACAAAACAATGTTGGCATTTTTAATTGTGTAATTAATTTCATTTTGCAACGCTTCTACGCCGAATTTTAGTAAAATTGACTAAAGCATTTTGCTCATATGATTTGTAGAAGAGAGGCGAAAGATACCACAGGACATTCAAACTCATAAATCGAAAATAGACTGACAACGCCATGGCAAAAAAAAAATACAAAGACCAAAAGACAAACAACAGTATACAAAACAAAATATAGAAACTAAAGACTTCACAACACGAACCAATAGTTATCAATCCAATATTGTTTATTTTGTTCACTTGTGAATTCATAAAATTTCATGATGTCTTCTTTTAATTATTTTTCCGAATATAGGCAATAATTACAACTACATTTTTCGGTATATTTTCTATATGAAGTAAGAAATTGTTTTCAAGCATATTGTACATACATTAATTAGTTAAATGGGCTGTATAATTTAATTTAACTGATCAAATTTATTTCAGTGGCACCGATGCCTCCCCCGCCGCCGCCACCACCACCACAAGGAAAACCACCTCCAATGGAATTTACAGAGTAAGTCTTTAGTAAAAGTAAAACGATTTTCATTGTCATTTCTTCGTAAATACTCGAGTACTTACTACTTAAATGCACACATTAGTCTTATTTCGTTTATTTATAAACACTATCGAAAATGTTAGGTAGAAAATATTTGTTTTCCAATCCAGCTCTCACCTAAGAACTGTTGAAGTAGTTTTTGCTGAACACATTTCACAATTTCTTTTTGTAGTGTATTTTCATACTATTTAAGGTTACTGCATCTAAGGTTCCTACGATGAAGTTTTATCCGAGCAATTAAAAAAGTGCAAGCTAAAATAGGTCCTATCCAAGGCTTGTTCAGTAAAACTCAGCAGAGTATACACATATGTATTGTAGAACATTTTCATAAGAGGAAATAAAAGTATAGCATTTTTAAAGGCGGATTTTTTTTAAATGGGACGTAATCGCGAGGGCATATCCAGATCAATATTTAAAATTTAGATATCATATAAACATATATTTGATTGATTTAATTTAAACACCATTTTAGCTTAGCCAACTTGGACGAAGCAGCATGTAAACAAGCTATGATTGAATTTGTCAACCAGAATTGTTGCTATGGCAAGAAACCAGCCAATGAAATGAGTCTTTCTAAAGCCATAGGATTAACGGCTTTACATGTGAGTAAATGGTGGTGCTTTGCAATCACATATTTAACGCTACTGGTTTCTTTGAAATTTATAACGAAAATGTCTATAAAGCAAACAGTATTGCAAATTATTGATGTAATGTGTCCCTATCAATGAAAATTATGGTAATGTGAGAGAATAACGGAATTGTTTGTCGTCACTATGACAAGAAATGCCTATGCAAAGCATACTAAGACTAATAGTGGTCATGCCATAAATTCTATATTCATATCATGATGGTTAAAGTCATCATCAGTTCAGTTACGATACGATACGAATAGAAGTGCATTTTGTATTAATTAAACTTATATTACGACAGTCAAGTTCAACTTCAGGTACGAAATAAGAAGTATTCGATATTTTTTTGAATTTGATGATTTTGATCTTTTGATATGGGTCAAACGTACGTTGATCTGTCAATTTTGTTTCAGTATACACTTGAGACATTCTGTGAAGGAAGGGACACGGGATATGTCAATGAACCATATAGAGGTGGACCTGTGGATGGACCCCAGAATGGCCCACCACCTCCTCCATGGGCAATTCCATGTCAACCAAACAGAATGTTTGAAACCCACACAAAGGAAATGGAAGTTCCACACACAGCTACTGTCAGGGTAAATGATATTGATTATTTATATAATTTGCTGTTTGTGTACCGTTTATATATGTTGTGTACAAGTTATCATTTTGTACAAATTATAGTTTGTACAAAAAAAAATAGTTAACTTTTTACAAATTACAATTTGTCCCAAAAAATGCTTGTTCAAATTAAAATTTGTACAAAATTTGACTAAAATTCACTTACAGCTTGTACAACGGATATATAATAATTTAACATGATAGAAAAGATTACCTTTTATATATTTTTAGCAGTAATACATTTTAATTGCCTTGAGGAAAACATTTTTGCATTCAACTCATTTTTAACACTTTTGGACAGTTCATTATTTTGGGGTCAATTGTTTTAATAAGTTCTCAAAGATATATATATCCCCGGTGTTTGTGAACGCTCTTTTACTCATTTGATGTAATAGTGTAAATATGGCCAGCATTGTTAAACAGCAGTATAAATTTGTCCAAGAATTTCTGACAAAAACCCTTTTAAAGTTATTTTAACAATACAGTAACAATCACAATTATGTATAAATGTATAATTGTAATATTTACAATGTTAAAATGAATTTTAGCCTTGTCATGACTGTGATGCCCGAGGATACCACCGATGTTGGAGATGTGGTGGATGGGGTCAGACTCATTGTGACAGTTGTGGAGGTGATGGACGGGTTATGCGAACTGACCACGAGGGGAACCAGCGTATGGAAGGATGTCACAGATGTGGAGGGGACGGTCGTTGTCAGTAAGTTTACATAAGCCTTGGCTAAAATTACTTATTTGTCTAACATTTGTTGTCTCCAATTTACCAATTTACAAGAATAAAACTCTTAGTCTAGATACAGGCGAAATTTTATCAGAGACATTTTTTTAATCAACATTTCACTTATTAGAAAGTAGCCGTTCTAGCTAACTCTGTTGATTTATTTCAAAGCCTCATGATTTTAGTATAAAACACTTTCTACGGATCGACAGAATCATGGAAACAATTCTTTAAGAGCGTACCCAGTACATGTAGTTGGGTGACCTGGATAGATGCAAATTCTGATATTTTAATCTTTACATCCCATCACAGCCTCAGTTTATTATGTTTGTTGTTGTTGTAAAGAAATACAAAACATCATTAGAAAATCTAGTTCAAAGATCTAATTTTTGTCATGGTATACACATGTAGCTCTTAGTGAATATACGATTCGGTCCTCATTTAAAACCAGGTCTTGTCTACGATTTAGGAGGGGCCTGATGGGTTATTTTCGTTCTTCGTGATCGGCGCATTTTCGCTATCGTGATCCGTTTTTCTACAGATTTATTATTTTTTTATATTTTCGTGATCCGTGATCATGGAAATTTATTTTCTGTGAATCGTGATTGACAAAAAAATCAACTCGTGAATCGTGATGAGACCCCCCCATCAGGCCCCTCATTTAGTTCTTATGTTTTTGTCAGTGACGGACAAATCTTTCCTTATATTTCCACCATCCTGTAATGTCTTCTTGATTATGTTTATAATCTGCCAGTATCGATCAACATATAATGATTCTTAATATAATTGAAACATATAATTTTTCCAGTGTCAAATAAAAGATAAAGTAACAGAAATGTAAAGGCGTTTTCTTGAAAATTACGAAACTTTCCCTTTAATCTGGGGCTAATACTTACACCACTGTCCCAGTCTCGGAGGAGGATTGACCGCTCATAAACATGTTTAACTCCGACACATTCTTTATGTGCACCGTCCAAATTAGTTCCAGCTTTAACACTTAATCAAATCTACTTTTATGTTAGATCCTGGTTTTATTTATCTTGTATGTAAATAGTATGTTTATATTTCAGCTGTGATACATGTGGTGGAGATGGACGTATTACATGTGATACTTGTGATGGATACAGGCAAATGAAGTGCTACATTAAGTTAACAGTTACATAGTAAGTGAATAGAAAGCGCTAATATTGCTAGGGTAATGTTGATGAGATACCAAATGTAGTGGTTATTTGACGATTTGTTTACAAGATATGGACACATTCTGGTTCAGTGTCGGTGATTGTTCTTGTTTGTTCATTCACATGTCTTAGTTCTATATTGTTGTCTTAGATTTCAAGTGTCTGACTTTTCCCCCTGAAATCTTTTTTGATATCCTTCCTCCTTTTAACGTCAGATTTCCAGTTTCTATTTTTTTCTTCTGAAGTTTAATTTTAATATGCTTTCTTCCTTTAACTATAAGTTGCTTCTGGCATTTTGATTGAGCAAGAAATGTTATCTTTAATTGGTTATTTCATTTTTCAGTACCAATCACAACGTAGACCACATAATAGAAAGAACTGACATGCCTGATGAACTGGTTAGATGTGCCAAAGGTGAAACTATTTTTGAACAAGTGATGACGCAGGTAGGTTTATAATTGACATTAGCAGAAATGAAGTTTGTTAATCTCATGATGTCATCTAGATGTTGAAATTGTTGTAAAATATGTAAACCATTATAAAACCATTTTCATCTTCATCAGTATTATTTTCAATACAAGGTATATATATATATATATATATATATATCAATCCTAAATTGAGGTAAATTATATGGCCTTCCAAATACCGTTTCGATTCCTAACGTCACTGAAGAGACATTAATTGTCGAAATCCGGATATGGTGTACCAATTTTTGCACCTTATGTTTGCGGTAGACCATCTTTTCCGGAAGGTTATTAGTCCCCTACCGACGAAGTCGAAGGGGACTTTAGGTTTGCACTCCGTCCGTCTGTCTGTCTGTCTGTCTGTCTGTCAGTCCGGCATATCAGTTTTCCACACTTTTTTCTTCGTGCTTGAAGATATTGATTTGATATTTGGTATATTGTTTTATTATGACACGTTACAGATCAAGATCGAATTTTGTTCCGGTCTGATAATTTTGTGCAGAGTTATGGTTCTTGGACTTACAAAATTCACTCAAATATTCAGTTTTCCGCTCTTTTTTTCGTCATGCTTGAATATATTGATTTAATAATTGGTATATTGTTTTATCATGACAAGTAACAGATCAAGTTCGAATTTTGTTCCGGTCTGATGATTTTGTGCAGAGTTTTGGTCCTTGGAGTTACACAATTCACTTAAATAATCAGTTTTCCACACTTTTTGTCAGCATGCTTGAAGATATTGATTTGATAATTGATATATAGTTTTATCATGACAAGTTACAGACCAAGTTCGAATTTTGTTCCGGTCTGATGATTTTGTGCAGAGTTATGGTCCTTGGAAAATTCACTTAAATAATCAGTTTTCCACACTTTTTGTCATCATGCTTGAAAATATTGACTTTATATTTGTTATATAGTTTACACCATGACAATTTATAGATCAAGTTAGCATATTGTTCCAGTACAATTAATTTTTAGCCGGTAGGGGACTATGTATTGCCATGCAATACTCTCAGAATGCTTGTTGTTTTCTGTTTGGTATTAAATTAATAATTAAGATCCATTTTGTTACATCTGGTGATCCGTTTATTTGGCAATCGCCATGGCAGTCAGCAGGTTTTACGAACATCTATTGTTCGACCTGCTAATCAAATGCGTTTTGTTAAAATATACTTTTTCACTTTTTTGGTCTTTTGGAAAATGTTGTTTGTGCTGTATTTAGACCCCTCTACCAAGAAATTTGTTTTGCATGCACACGTATAAAAATTGCGGTTTTTATACAACGCAATCATTGGTTTGAACGTTGTTTTCAATTTTGTTCTAATATGCATTACTAAAAAACGTTGATACCAATTTAAGTGTGCATTGAATAGCTTGTTGACTTGTTACAATAACTAAAGGACAAATTGGAATTTAAAAGTTCTTCGAGGACTAACAAATCGTCAAATAAGAATCCAATTAATTATATTAACACACTTGTCATTATCACTTCTAAATGAGACGATAATTACAGCCTTGTTTTGCATTCACAATTGATTTACATATTCTTAGATTTTAGAACTGCAACCTATTTGCGTAATAAAGAGAAAGAATATCAGAAAAAGTAAAATTTATAAAGGAATCTTCAGGAATTTTTTTCTTTTTTATGTTATGGCAGGGAAAAAAAACGTACGGTGACCCCATTTTTTCTTTTGGTATTCTGAAAGGATATTGTGAGAGCTATATTCTCAAATTTAACACAAAATTCTATCATTTAGTTTACCTTCTATTCACATTATGATGCTTTTTTTCTCTGTATAAACCATACAAAATGTGTCATTTTTTCACAACCTGTAGCTGGAAAACAATCTCGGAAACCTATCATTTTTATCATATTTATGAATATTGCACAATATATACTATTTTCTGAAAGTATGAAAAAAATCATTCATTTTTTGTGTATACTCGCATTCCAACTTAAAACAGAATAAACTGTTACATTTATGTATATTCTTTATCTTATTCTATTAATGTGAAATTATCAATAATTCCTTAAAACTTCACAGTTCCGTATAAGACAGTTATGTAAAAATCACCGGGACAAACTCCAAATTTGAATTGTTCTAGCATACTAAAAGTGAAATGTAAATTAACGATGACCAGTATGTCAGTTTGTTTAATCCTTAATGTTAATCATAACGTTTATTTTTATAGGTTTTTCCAATCACCTCATACCCTGTGGTGGAGATTAATGATAATTCTGTTCGATTGGTCAATTCTCATAGAACTGCATTTCCAAATGAAAGACAGCTTCAGCAGGTTAGTCTTTTTTTCACCATTTCACATGGAAAACCTCTAAAATGTTATAAAAAATCTATTGGATATCAACATTTTAAATATATGCCACAAATAATACTGAAAATGACATGCACCCCTTGTTTCAGGATCAACTACATTTTCAAACAAAACGTTACCATTCTCTTATTCACATGATCTATTAATTAACAGATTTGTAAATTGTATGATTGATTGATTGGTGATTGCTTTACTCCGCATAAGCACAAAAAGGCTTTATCGCGGCGAGTAAATTAAATGAATATACTCACTAAACCTTTATGAAATTCACCATTGATTGAGTCTTTCGGATGGTGATCTTCTTCAATTCAAGTGTAATGAAAAATTATATGTCGAAATCTAAGTCCATTCCATATATAGTGATATAAAATGTATGTGTTGGATAAATTACAAACTCTAGAGGTAGTAAAAAGAGGGGGAACAAACCAAGGGGAACATATAAGCCTCAGCAGTCCAAGAGAAACTAATAATGCCATAGTTATTTACATTTATGGAGTGAATGCATTCATTCAATATGACATCCTCACAATTACAATGCTGACACAGCAGTCCTGATTTTGCGAGAAAGTCAAATTAGTGGTTGTTGCGTGATATGTTACTGACACATGGGAATAGAATGTTTCTTATGTTACATATTTACCTAATGATTCATTGATTTTCAATTCAAATGAATTTTATTTTTCAGAGACAAAGATTGCGTGCTGTGCCAGTAACTGAAGCTAACTACACCTGGGAGGACTTTAGTTCAAGATTCTGGGTCTATGGACTAGAAAGAAAAGTCCATGCACCTGATTACCCTCAACAATGCTGTTGGGGATGTTCTATATTGTAAATCGTCAGATAACAAAAGGTTTTCTGATGTTCTTTCTCTTTGTTAGGTATTTTGAGTAAATTTTGTATTGCCTGATTGGATCTGTCAAAACCAATATTTTCATTTAGTGTTCAATCAACTATTAAACCAGGAATATATAAAATCATCAATCTGAAGACTAACTATTATGTCTGTCTGTATCTGTATTGGGATTATTTCATTGGGTAAAAACGAAATAATATTATGTATTAAAGAGCTATTATTTTCACATAATCATATACACAAAAAATTGATTGATTTTGTTTACTCATTGTTTTTACGATGTTTTTACTGATACGAGACTTATGACAGTCTCAAGAAGTATTTTGTTTACATTATATATTTTTGATGTTTCTGATATATAATAACAATATTCATATGAGTTGCATGATAACATGCTGCCAAAATATCTTTACAAAAATACTGAACCGGCATTATCTTCTTTATCAGATATATTGACTTTTTATATAGAATGCATTTATCTTTATTATTACCTTTTCTTTCTAGCAAGCTGTAATGTGTTGATTTTTTACTGTTAGGTCTTGAGTATACTGTTTTTTATATCATTTCTGAAATTAAGTGAATTCTTTGCAAATTGTCAAATTAACCTATTTTTTCGGATAAATACTGAAATGTGACTCTAACTTTGCCAAGTCTAAGTCTCTAGCATATTCATTATTGGTATGGTCTTGTATTTAATGTCATATACCTATTCGTTAAGTAGCTATAGAATAGTTAAGATGATGTTTTGCAATCTACAAATAGAGATTACTATGTGTGCAATATGTTATTCAAATAATATTCAACACATGTTTTATACTTGAAGGAGAATTATCAAAATTGCAAGTTGCAATCAACTAAAGCATAATAATGATTAGCATTAACTCAAATTTATATTTCTTCAAAAACACTATGATTAATATATGAATACATGTATGTAGATAAATTTATTGTGTAGAATGACAGTATTACATGTTCAACAATCACCTTTATTCTGTGATAGTATTTTTATTATTTTATCTTTTAATCCAATGAGAATATAAACTGTTAGTAGTAATCCTAAAATGCAAATGTATTTTTTTCAATATAACTTTCAACTCTTATTTTAAAATATTTTGTTACTGATCAAATTGCATTTACCGTCACTGAATTAAGAACTATTTCCATTTGTCCATTTCTTAACGTTCTCCATGGCAACACTTTTACGGCTTAAGTTTCTAGATCTAGAAGGATAATTGAGATCACATATATTGTCTATTATAAAGTGACTATTTGCTGACACTTCAAGGGGATAAAGTTTTGTAATCGGACGCAAAGTGAGTCCATTTTTTGTCCGTATTACAGCAGATCTCGTTTTTCCATCACCTACAATGTTCAATTGTTCAGTTACAGCTAGGTTCTACTTTGTCCTCGGTGATTCTTCGTACACTTGTACAACATCTCCAATTGATTGTTTGATTGTCCTACCCGGATTTCTATAAAATTCTCAAAGAGAGGTAAGATATTCGTGCTTCCATTTGTACCAATACTGTTGAATAAGTTGAGATTTCAATCGAGACAGTTTATTCACAAATTCATGAGTCATCTCATACGTCGAATGTCCAAAGTCTCTTTTATCAGGGTATTGTAGTGTTATGATCCTACGTCCGTAAAGTAATTGTGATGGCGTTATCGAACCATCTAAAATATCTGATAAGACGTAAATTAACGGACGGTCATTGGGAATACTTTCAACTTCAGTCACAATTGTCTTAAGAAGTTCTATGTTGATAAGGGAACGTCCCAAAACTTCTTGACACAATCTTTTGTAATTCCTACCAATCTTTCCCAAAAGCCACCGTACCATGGTGCGCATTTTGGTATAAATGTCCATGTTGTACCATAGTTGTTCAACTTTTCTGTAAGTGACGCTGATTGTGTTAGTTTCTCTATGTGCTTAGTGGCTGTAATGTAGCATTGTCGGATATCATCGTTTTCGGTTACGATTTTCTACTTACAAATCTATGAAATGCTAAGATAAATGTTTTTTCATCACTTCTAAATGCACAGCGCGAGTGCTGGCACATGTAAAAAAAAACATATGTAAGCTTTAATAGTTGTTCCATCGTTGTTTTTCACTGTCAGAGCGCCAGTAAAATCCACTCCCGTTACTATGAACGGCGGTTACAGGTCACATTTGCGTAAGAAACTGTTCGCAACTTGTCGTATAGTCGGTATCCAATATGTCTGACTGAGATGTGTGACGGTACTTGACAGTCCTGAGTGTAAATGTGAAATGTGAGCATCCATTATAATGTGTTTAGTCAGTTTATCTTTTGCAGATAACAATATCGGAAATTTTGTAGATTCATCCAATGGTGCGTTATGAATCCGTCATACACAACGAATCAAGTTGTCCTTATCCAAATAAAGTTTCAGTGGTTTAACCAAGTTGTACATCTTTGTTTCTCCTATTTGTAAGCTTTGTTTTTGTATATTTGTTTATTTCTTGTGTATTAAGGTTTCCGGTTCGTTTTTCTCCTGATCTACAATTAGCTATAAATCTTTGAACGTAGGCAAAACTTTCTTGAAAGAGTTAAATCTGTCAATGTCAATTATGTTTTTCATTTCCTGCAATACACCGTGCGTATTCAGTATTTGTGTCGTATCAACCGTAACTTCTTGTTGAGCAAATGTAGAAATAATTTGCGTTTCTTTTATTTTCCATTCAGGCCATTTTTTCTCGTTTGACACATCAAACGAATGGAAAACAACTGTCATATTCCTGACTTGGTACAGGCATTTCTTCATGTAGAAAATGATGGATTAAAAACCTGGTTTATAGCTAGCTAAACCTCTCACTTGTACGACAGTCGCATAGAATTCCATTATAATGACAACAATGTGTGAACAAAACAAACAGACATAATAGGTAAAAATGTTAAAACTAAGGGTACAGCAGTCAACATTGTGTTATGATCAAATTCACTATAAAAAAAAAATATGTCAGCAAAGAAAAACAAAATGGCATATAGACAAAGCACAGAAGCAAAAATAAAAAACAAGAATACAAAAAATGACCACAGCACAACAACGCAATAGCGGGATGCATAAGTACCGAGCCACGCCAAAAGGATATTACCAAAAATGGACTAAACAGTAAAGGTTAATAATTTACAAAGATAAATAAAACAACGTTATAATACGTAAAATGTGAGATAGAAGTCGACTTCCAATTACTACAGCCATTACTTCTAATGTTGGTATTGTATGCTGTTTTAAAGGTGCTACTCGATTTCTAAATATTAAGAGTGAACTTTGTCTTCCGAAACGAGGTATGCACAAGCTCTGTAAGCTTTCATGCTAGCATCCATGAATACATGTATCACATTGGCTCTGTTCGAATCCGAGCAATTTTTGAAGTAATGACGATGTATAACGGTCTTTGTCGCTTCATTAATATCTCGTCTGATGACCATGTCAATCCATTCTGTCCGCATATGATTGGCCAATGGCTCGTCCCATTTCATATTTTCACCCCAAAGTGTTATAAACATCAACATTTTACCACGTACGGTAACTGGACTGATGATCCCGAGTGGATCATAAATCTTGGACGATTGTCTTAGTACTTCGTGTTTCGTGATGAGGTATATTTCCGTGTCTAGAATATATTCAGCTGCTTAAGTGTATCATGATATGTATTCCAATGCAAGCCTAATATTTTTACTACCTGTACAGTATCGAGACCTTTTTCATATTCTGCAAGTTGTTGTAAAGCTTGTTATTTGATGCCCATGCGCGTAAATTGAATCCACAATCTGTAAATAATTTGCAAATAACTTTGAAATATTGTGACAATTCATCTTCGGAATTAAAACTAGAAACAATATTGTCTTCGTACAAATCTCTCATTAAATTGTCAGTAAATTCCGGCTGGTGGTTGTCGATGTGTTTTGATAAAACAGCATTTAACTTAAAGGGTAAGCAGGTGGCTCCGAATAATACAGAGTTGTAATATAACTGCTCGGGTTTGTTGGATTGCTCAACCAAACAAATCTTCAATTTTTAGTCCAACATTGAGAAAGGCCTTTTCGATACTTGTTCATACGGCGTATTTATTCATGCGGAATCTTAAAAGTGTTGTGGTTACATCATCAACGTTGGGGGTACGTTACGTAAGCAATCCTTTAAGCTGTTGGTGTCCGGTGTTTGTCTACAACTACAGTCATACACGATCCTGATAGGTGTAGTTGCGGAATGTTGCTTCACGGCATGATGAGGGCTATAATGTAACTTGGTATTTGGTTTAACTAAATCTGTGTCGACTTTCTCTATAAACCCTCGCTTTCCTGTATTTTCCACACTATTGTAATAATTGGGTATGATAATTTCAACCCACGCAAATGTCTCATATTTACTACTGATTTCATGTGTGTTTGCAGAGGTAATGCTATTTCAGGTATGATAAGTACATCGAGCGGTATGTTATCTCCATCGTCAGTTTGTAAGTATATTGTTGCCGATTGCATATGTCTAATTTGTCTGTTTTCCTCTACGAATCAAGAAGGATGAACTATTTCGGTCCCGTTGATACCTATATCTAGTTTTTTTTTGGCGAGTGCTTCTGTGACGAATGATCTCTGTGCTCCTTCGTCTAGTAAAATATTAGCATCCGTTGACTCAATTCCTGAGCTCACGCTAGCGACAGCGGTTTTCAATATAACGTTTGAAGTTTTCTGTGGTGCGAGGGGGGAGTTTAATACGGTATTACCATTATCTTTCATTTCTTGTTTTTGTGATTCGTCCACCCTGTCATTCTTGGTACATATACTTGTATAATGACGTTTGTTGCATTTTTTACATGTACTTGTAGATTTGCAGTCGGCTAATTTGTGACGACCGAGGCAGTTAAAACATAACCTCTCTCTTTTTATCACAGCTTTACGCGCATCAACGGTTGTGATTTTTGTGCAATTAACGAATATATGCCCATTTTCGTGGCAAACTATGAAAGACTTAATGTAAAGTTTATTCTCAGAAATTGACTTTTCGGGTTTTCCGAACGTTGATTTTAAACGTGACTTTATATTTGTTAAAAAGGTAGCGGTAGCAAGTGGCCTTTCTACTTTTTAAGGTAATTTTCCGGCTTCCATGATATTTAACTCGTCAAGAAGCGCTTTGCGTAAATCATGTAGTGTCCAGTTTGTTGATCTGTGTACTCGTGCTAAATTTTGACGTATCTCTGCAGGTAACTTTTCTAAAATAACACGGACTAGTAGTGATCCATACGTATCGTATGTCTGTCCGAGTGACTCGAGATCTCTTACATAAGTTCTTATCATTGTAATTATGAAGGCCGGTAATTGTATAAATTGGAGTCCATAAATCAAGTAGGGCCTCCATGTAGGTTTGGGCGATTTTACGAGTTTGTCGATTATTCCTTTTAGAAAAAAATGGAAAACAGTAAAAAATTGATTTTTATAAGTAAAAAAAGAGCAGACAATACCAAGACAAAGAAGAAAACATATAGACTTCAAACACTGCCTAGAAAACTTCATATTTGCAATAAAAGAACAAAAAAACTAGGGGTTACCTTTTGTGTTCTAGAGAAATAAGCAATTCCTGTTCCACTAATGATGCTCATGCTAAAAACTCAATGAAAAAGTCATGACCTGTGGTAAACAATTGCGGACTGATAGAGTTTTTGTTTTTGTAACTATAAGTAACTTAGTATTACCAAATTATAAACCATAAGTGCATGTTAATTCTCTTACTCTAATATATAACATCATCTACTGAGAAAAATTTTAAATAACTAAGCATAAACTATACAGTCCTACTAAAAACCTAAACTGAAAAAAATAAACAAAGATACCAGTCTTACAATTTAATGCACTAGACGCGCATTTCGTCAGCAAAAGACTCATCAGTGGCAATCGATTCAAAACAGTTTGAAGGTCAAATAAAATCAATAACGAAGTTGAAGAGCTAAAATAAAAATAACAAAAAAGGGTGTGCCTCAACCAGCTAAGGCCATCAGATCATTTCAAGTCATTAAAATTACACATGCTTAACCGATACTAGTATTCTTAAAAGTCAACTATATTAGAATGGCGTTCATAAAATAACGAAGAGATGAAAATATCATTATCATTAAGAATGCTTGATTCAGCGGTTTCCTGTTAAAACCGGATTCTATCTGCAGGTCATTTTATAGTAAGAGACTGCATAATTATAACAACATATTATTTATGTACTTTAGGAAGGAATCATTTCAGGTAATGTTACAACAACTGACAAGATCTGAAACAAAACTTTACGGAGGTTATGGCAATGTCAGCAAGTATTGTAACAGTAAGAGTCTTAACCACTGTTAATTCATCATCTGTAGTAGATAGGGGTCGTATCAGTAAGTGATGGCCGTTGGTAAATGTGCAGGAGGAGACAGCATCTAAAACAATCTTTTACAGCAACTGGAGTTAGGAACCATATAAACAAGCTGTGCTACAGTAGAATACAGTCTACAACAGGCTTACATCTTTTGTTTATTTCTATTTAAGTCTTATATAGACAAAAAGCGTGTCTGGCATAACCTCAGTTAACCTGCGTTTATGCAACTGATGACGGGCTTTTCGTACCCGAGGGTATCACTAGCACAATAGTCAGCACTTTGGTGTTGACTTAAAATATTATTGAAATGTTCATTTTTGCAAATTAAGTTAATTTAATGTTTATAAGGCATTGAATTATTCAACACACTACGGTATTTCTATCCCCAGGCAAATAATGTCTATGCTGTTATTTATACGACTTTTTGGAATTTTTGGTGTTCAATGGTATTCAACTTCGTATTTGATTCGACCTTCAATAGTTTTGATTCAAATACCACTGATAAGTGTTATGTAGATGAAATGCTCGTCTGGTGTAACTAATTATAACCTAGTATCTTTGATATTTTTTAATGAAACTACGATACAATAAATTTGACGACGGATATGTTTTAATTGTCGTAACTACCGTCCTCTTTTTCCCGAATGTGAATTCAAAGAATTAGACTCATCACCGATTTCATACTTACATGAATAACACGATGGGTGCCACATGTGGAGCAGGATCTAACTCTTACGGGAGCCCCTGCGATCACCATCAGGTTTTTGTGGGGTTATTGTTGTTCACTCTTTCTTTTCTATGTTGTGTTTTGTAGAATGTTATTTGTCATTTGCTGGCTTTTCGTATTTTTCCATGGCGTTGTCAGTTTGTCCTCGACCTATAAGTTTGGATATCACTTTGATATCCTCCACCTCTCTTTTATATAGCTATAAGGAGCTATAACAGCAGGCGATGTTACAAATCGGGACAGATTCACCAATTGTTTTACTATAACTTTAGACAGGGACAGGGGTTGCATAAGCAGGTATTGTTACAGCAAGAGTTTATATCAATAGTTTATACAATAGTTACAGGTAGGGTTTGATATCAGCAGGTCGTGTTACAGCTAGACCCCTGTCTATAACAGCAGTTTATATAGTATCAATAGGTAGGGTTCAATATCAGCAGGTAGTGTTACAACAACATACAGTCTATAACAACAGGTTATTAAGTGAATTTTAGTAGGAGCATATCAGCAGTGGATGGTACACGTAACGACCAAAAACTAAAGGAATTGCATGAACTCCAAAATGAGCGAGACTGAATGCGCCGACAGGGTAAGCGTCTCCTGCTATACATTCATCACGCGCCATCCGAATTCACACTCAGTTAAAATTAAACAATCGGGAATGAGACATATTCTGTTAATTGGGGAAACTAAGAAAGCTAAGGACAGTTTCCCCAAAGGGCATAAATGAAAAAAACATAGAATGAGTCACTCATTTTCCTACTATTACTCATTTTCCTACCATCACTTGTTTCCAGTAACTCAGACTTCCGTACTGGACTCTTACAGTTTTAAGGAATTTTTTAATTATACCAGTCTAAATTACAGGGTTCTATGCATTTTGGAGGGATGTACAAGTACGCAGACACGTTTAAATATTTAACCTTAGTCAAAATTTATTATTATTTTTTTAATCATTATCAAACTGCCATCTATTTGGGATGTTTAAATACGCAGCCTCTGTTTTAATTACTCTACCGTTGTCAAATTTGAAATATTATACCAGCTTGGATTGGTCAGTACTATTTATTGGGAATGTATTTCCACGCAATCGTTGTTGTAACATCTTAACTGTCGTCACCTTTGAAATTTTAGAGTTGTATCAGTTCATATCGCACATTACTATTTTTATTTGAAGCATGTCTTTGCAGTCTCTGTTGTAAATAGCTACATAACCTACGTCATGTTTAAAAATTTTAGAATTGTACAAGCGTCTCTATGATGTTCAGTTTTGACTGTTTTATTGTATAAATTTCAAGATTGTTATAGTTTTATAATCAGACTAGATTGATATGATTCATTTTACATCTTGATCATACTGATGAAGGATATCTGTTATCCGAAATATTTAACAATTGTTCATTTTATTATTATTTTTTGGTGATGTTGTATCCTTTTAGACTTGTTATATATATATTTATTTATATAACCAACAGTTTGTGCAATGTTATAGAGGCTCTACAATCAGGTGATGTTGTAGCACATCAACAGGTCTATAACAACAGTTTATATAATCCCAGTAGGTAGAGGCTTGTTACAGTGAACAAAGGATCAATAACAACAGTTTATATTGTAACTAATGTTGTCATAACTTTATTTAGTTGCAGAGCCCGGTGTGACATAAGTGTTTCTTGTATACCAAGTAGTATTGCAAGGACAAAATAAATCACATTAAACAATGCATTTAAAATATTTTAGTTTAACAAATTAAAGATTGTAATTAGTAGACATAACAATAAAAATAAAAAGTTACAAATAAAAAAGCCTCTGGCACTTCTGTTCACTCTTGTAACCAACACCATTCTGCAAAATATTTCCTGAAAGTATAAGATAAGTTAATTTAACGACATTTTGTCTTTGTCAAAATGTACACGATTCAGAACAAAAGGCCGACCATTAAAATAACTTACGTCAACACATGACGGCCGTTAACGCTTTTTGTAATTGTACATTGTTCGTTCATTTTTCTATGTTGTGTTTTGTATACTGTTCTTTGTCTTTTGGTCTCTTCCTTTAATGCCATGGCGTTTTCAGTTTATTTTCGACTTATGGGTTTGAATGTCTCTTTGGTATCTTTCGCCTCTCATATTTTTTTTAATACTGTTTGAATGTAAATACATCAAATACTCCATGCAGATACAGAGCTAAACCTACACTTTCAAAATATGTTTAAATTAAAACAAATAAAATATATTAAGCTCATTGTTTTTCCAGGAACAGCTTATTCTTTCAAAGAACACAAAGAAAGTTCATCTCACGTTTTATTGCATTCCTTGAACGTCTATATTTATTGCCTACTACTTGATGTGACTGTTCCTTTTACTTATTTCATTTAAGAGTGCAATTAGACATTAGACCGTAGTTGAAGTTGAATTAAAAATCACCATTTTTTTAATTTGATTTTTTCGGGCATTTACATCTTTCTTCTGGTGGAATATCTTTCAAACATTCTTCAATGTGATTTCCACATCCTGAAAAATACAAACAATTTATACGTAGTCTTTTCACGTTTACATAATTAACCGATTCTTTAGTTATGGTCTCAAAATATTTTGTAATTATATTGACCAATTATTTGTCTATTGCAGGAATTACTTATAGATTCGTGTATAGACAAATTGTTACTACCTATTCGCTGTTTAAGGGCATACGATACATTTCCATAGGGGGTAGTAACGTCGTTAACGTAAAATGATATTTTTCTCGACGTCAAAATGTGACATATCGGGAAAAGACGATTTTTTTAACTGATATGAATGTTAGCTTTAAAACAAATATATGGACCCCTGTTTTTTTTATGACAGTTGGCTTTATAATGAACGTAGATTATTTGAACCAATTTTTTATGAAAAAAAATCACCGATTATTCTTTTTTGAATTACATAAATATACAGCAAAAACTGACGTTTTTTTTTCTTCTTAAATCTTGAAAAATTAATAAATATGAATTATTTCTTAAGAAATTCCAAAAAACCGCTTGTATTTATCTTTCAGTACTATATGTTTATAATTCTGCCCAAAGGATAGAAATTTTCCTTAAAAAAATAGAATTTTAGAATAAGCATCTTAAATTTCGACCTCATTTATCTCTAAATGTAGCATATAAAGGTGTATTTTTTATCTAATATTTGAAATGATCAGGTAAAACATAGCTTGTATGCAAACTTTCGTAACAAAATCACCGTGGAATCAAAACTGTATCATATGCCCTTAAGAATCTGAAGTATATATGGTGAAAAAAGATCAATAGTTCAATAAAAAACAAGTGACAAATTAGGAACTTATATTAAGTTATTGAGATATCAGTAATTTTTTAACGTTATTTCCTTTTGGTCTATAAGATGCGGAAGTGATTTTTTTTTTCTTAAAAGCATCAAAATTTTAAAAGTGTCATCGAGTTAAAAAAAAAAAAAAAAGAAAACACAATACAATTTACAATTTTGTCTATAATGGGCAGTACTGAAGTTGAAAATTATTCAAGAATTTGAAAGAAAAGAAATTTATAAGCATTTTAGTTTACTATGTGCACATGGTGAACACATGCTGTTTTATTGTTTAAATGCGTGTCCTCGCGGTCATGACAAGCATTTGGCTTTGAAATCCCCAATTTTTAAAGTATGAACACACAAGAATCACTATCCAAATCCAAATATTGAAAGAAAAAGTAAAGCAATCAAATTATATTTAGAAATGTTAAATTTATAAATTTTCAAACACACAATATCAAAATCCCTCAAAATTCTAGATTTAAATATTTTACAAAAATGATATATTTTTTCTCTAATCTAATTTAGCCAATTTGAAAGACTTGCACGATAAGTTAACTTCACTTGCAAGAATGAGTGCATTCACATATATTTTATTTTATGCTCTTTAACATCCCAACTGATTTGCCTTCCAACTGCTTTGATTCGAGCGCCACTGATGTGATTTGTGCCGACGAAACGCGCGTCTATCTTACAAGTTATAAACCTGGTATCTTTGAAAAGTTTGTTTAACTCATTGTTACTAGCGTCCGTTCTTAGAATATATGTGAAATTATCAAACCAGGCTGTCACGTGGTAATTAAAAGCAATATATTCCGAAAGACCAGTGAATTCTTTATGAAAGTAAATGAAAATAACATTTCATAAATTGTATGCGTCCAAATCCCTTTCTGGATGTACCACCATCCGAAACGCTTAAACCTAAATATTTGAAAGTCATTGTTGTATTGATACGTGCATTCTAGTGGGGCTATATAACCAAAAGAGTATAAAGAGAATAATCAAATCCACATAATATCATGTTTGCCTGAGGGAGTTGTAACCTTATACATAGTTTCTGAATAATTTCTTATTTTATCAACGGAGAATTTCAGAAAAGCATATCATCATAGTACTTAAAATTGAATACCAGTAAATAGCTTACCTGCCCATGTTGGCTTGTTGCAAGATTCGCAGGTTACTTTGAAACACATTTTGATTTTCTTGTTAACGCTCAGGAAAAACAATTGAAGTGTACAGCACCCCACTCATTAAGCTATCAGTCCTTTTTTAGTGGAGTTTAATATGTTATTTACAATACTTATACAGAATTTATATTTTAAAACGTGATACAATTTTAAATATGCGCATGTCTTTATCTTTGCCAATATTACATATGTAGTTTTATTATTATACAGTTTTAACAATCACGTAAGTTTACGGATCGTTTGAAGGATTAATTAAAGTATGTAAGTTAGCAATGCGTGGAACTTGCATTGTACACATTAGTATAGGGTTTCCCAGCTGTATTTTAAATAATGTTCGAAAAATGTATTTGAACAGTAATAAACTTCAGATTTAAATGTAAGTAAATAAAAGATCTTGTTAGATAAAAAGTAGATCAACTTTAGTTGTATGTGTAGTGTTTTATGGTCTGTTGTTTGTCTGTACATCTTTTTCTTTAGACCATTTTGTTGTCTGACAATCTGCAAAATATGGTTTTGATTGCTTTGTTGGTATCTTCATATTTTGTCATTTGTGTACTCAGTTCCAACAAGTGACAAAGTACACGAAGATACAATGGTAATACTGAATAAATGTTAACAATTTTGAACGAAAACTTGACTGTTGTGTTATATTTTGTGTTATATAAATGGGTTATATTTTGTGTGTTTTTTTTTAATTTGCTTGACCTATATGGGTATAATTTGCAAATAAAATTATAATGAAAGGGAAATTTGAAATTACAATCAATGAATTGATTATGAACGATAAAGTTATTTGATTTATATAGATTGATTACTTGTTCTAACACATATTTCTATTACTATTTGGAAATTTATTTTCCTGGTATTATTCAGGGGTTTTGAGAATTAATGTTTTGTACCTTGAGGCTTATAACTCTCACAACTGTTGCTGATTTTAGTTTAAAATCTACCATACCTCAATCGATAAATTAAAACAAGATACTTCAAAACACGTCTTGCTTTTGCATTCACATACATTCTTTAACACATTGCTGTTTGTATCATTCAACCAATGCGATTAGTTTGTAAACTATCCGTATGCTAAAATCTGCCCACAATATTCATACAAATCTGATTGAAGGTAGTTAATGATACACTTTCATACGATAGCTATTGTTTTTACAATAATCATGATTTATTTGCAATTAAAAAAAAACAGCATCACTCCCTTTTTTGTGATAACTAATGATAATGTGGTATCATTACTCGCCTTACTGTGTTTTGTGACGAATGTATGTCTGGAATTATGATTGTCAATGCCCCCTCTTGGTCATTCACTGATCAAATTATATATTTGATGCATGGAAATTGAAGCAATAGTACCGAAGCACATGTCTGTGTTTGTTTATGTTCAACACATGTTGCATAACTGATTTGTTATTTTATGATATTACTGGTTAGTGTACGTCGCAATGCAGGTATTCTACCTGTATACTTGGGGATAGGACCGTGAATGATTCTCGTGCAGAGTCTAATCACAAATAATAATTATTTTGATAACAAGACTATGTGACGTTACGTTTTCAAATCAGTGTCAAATATTTAGACCATCTAATCAACGTCCAATGTGACGTCATGTATTACCAAAACGACGTCCGATTGATCGGAGTCTCATCGATGTCCAATATCATTCAATCATTTATTTTTAGTTTGATCTTTTTTATATTAACCGTATCGTTTTGTCTTTGTGCGGACCAATTGTTTTCTTATATCTTAATCAACATAAAAAGACACACATAAGACAATTACAATAAGATAACCACCAACATCATAATACATGAAGATTCATATTACCGGTAAAATGTTGGTGAAAGAAGTTCATCCTCTCGATCTACATTGACTTATTCCTTTCGTATTCATATATATAAATGAATGTAGATATGCGACAATGAGACAACACCAACTACAAAGATAACCGAAAGACGTCTAGAGGGCAATCTTCAGTCCCAAACAATAAACGGAATAAAAAAGTACAGACAACCGTTGAAAATTATTATTATGTTGACTCTGCAGGATTTATAACATCTTATATTTTCAACAACTTTTTGAGTTTAAAGTTCAACCCACCATTTTATAAAGTAGTGATGTTATTGCGGCAAGTCCGTAAAAATGACTCGATTAGAGGACCTAGAATTGGACGTCGATTAGAGAAGCATATAATTGATCGTCGATTTGGAATCTTATTTCATTATGACGTAAACTTTAGACGTCAACTTGAGGCATGGACGTCTATCTGAGTCTTACATATATATATATATATATATATATATATATAGGTGTGAGTGTTTGTTTTTTTGTGTGACAGCTCAACCACAGAAATTCTCCATTGGTTAACCTATGTTTATACATCGCAAAACACCGCAACTACACATACTCAATCTGAATTGGGCCAAACAATCATTTTAGATCTGAAAATTTGCGGTAGCAAATATTTACTCTTTTCACAGCGGAATTTAAACCCATGCTGGTTGGACATCGTAGCACCTCCGCCTGCACTTTGGACACTTCCCTATACCCTTTGATCAACAAAGCTATATAAAAATACAGCTTTTGTTAATCGAGTGATGCCTTTCATCGTTGGCGTCATCGTGGATTGTAAAACAATTCATGATGTATCGTGACATGAAGATGGAATACCTTGAAGGTTTGCTGTGCTTGTCTGTCGTTAAGAATGATAATATTATCCATGCAGTTAGATCAATATGTTTTCATGTTATACGTCTAAGTAAGTGACAATTTTCTGTCCGATAACACATGGTATTTGATAGGGCTAACACCACACATGCATTGTTTGGTCAAACAGACGAAGTAACATCATGTACTGTACATAGATGAAGCCGACGACGTAAGGCATCACTCAACTAACGAATAGGTATTTCTTTAAAGTCTTGTTGGTGTGAGTGGCCTATGGCGTTGGACAGCGCAGGGAAATTGCCATGATGTCACAACAGCATGGATTACAATTACAATGAGGGAAAGGCAAAAATTTGCAGATCTAACAGATTGAAAATTATGTTACAAGACAATACTGTAACATTTACAGTTACAGTAAAATGACACATGTGGATGAATAGTAACGTAAGTCGAGAAGTCAACCTTTGCCAACGATGGACTATCATCCAAACTAAGCTACACGCGGCTAGAATAAACAAGCCACGAACTAAATATCAGTAGAGTCGTCTGACGCGCACGTGAACAAGGAACAAAAATCAACTTTTTGCGAGTTTTATTATATTTTGACGGAGTTTAGGAAACTATATTGTGAGTACTCAAACCATACCGTCTTATGACTAGTGTAAAACCATTCAAACAGGAAAACCAACGGTCTAATCTATATAAAAACGAAAAACGAGAAACACTTATGAATCACATCAACAAACGACAACCACTGAACATCAGGTTCCTGACTTAGGACAGTTGCAAACAAATGCAGCGGGTTTAAACGTTTTAATAGGCGCCAACCTTCACCCTAACCTGAAACAATAGTGTAACATCACAACATAGAAAGACACACTATAAAATATAAATTGAAATGGCTTAAATCAATCATACATGCGCTTTGAATACCTGTAATCATTTGACAGGCTTGTTTCTTGATTAAGAGTCGATGGACTGTTTGCATGACGTAAAGACACCCTCAGCTACATTACCGTGGAAACTAATCCTGATTTTTTTTAATATACGAACAATAATTGTATAGGTAAAAATTTCCTATATAAACGTGAAAGTTTTTGATTATTTCATAATTTACAAGTCATGTTATTTCAGCAGATTGACAATGTCTGATATATCTATAATATAGTGAAGTTCTAAGATTTAGATAACATTATACAATTGTATTTGGTCCTTTTTAAAATCGCTATCGGAATGAATATATCGAACTTTGTTGTTGTAACGATTTGTTCTCTACTGTTTGTTGTGCATATTTGTGTAATAGGAATTGTGGTAAAAACTAAGAACTGGTCAGCAAGTAGATTTTTATCTTTAGCTTTATTTCTGAGTATAAGCGATGCGGTTATGATGATCGAAACGATTTGGCAAGCAGTAGTCAGAGGAATATTAACTAAAAGTAACCGGGATAGCTACCATACCCAATGCATCATTCTGTATAACTTGGCATCGGGGACAGTCACATTTTCACTTTTGCAAACTCTATTTATATGCTTTGAACGATTTAATGCAACATTTACAGTTTCAAGTTTAATTTTAAGACGACTTACCAGTAACGTTGCTGTAGGAGTTGGATTTCTAATCATTCATTTATATGTTTTGATTCGATGTTTACTAGATATTTTTGCAGAAAAGAATTTGGGTCCAACAAATTTGGGTCCACCAAAAGGATGCGACATAGCATACACGTTTCAGAAAGGATTTTTTCATTTTAATGCAATACCGAAAGTTTTGTTAGTATTTCTAATTGCTGGATGTTATATGACGATAATAGTTAGAATAGTCAAACGTAAAAGCAAGGTATTTACCATTGGTGGTTTTACTGAATTACAAATAGAGAAAAAGAAAAAAGCTGTCCAAAAGATGCGTAGCAATGTGATAACATTAAGTTGTATCATCGCCGTTTCTGTTTGTGCAATACTTCCCAGAACAGTTTATGGATTGTATATACAAAACTATCCAGTCTCAAACATGGTTACGCCTACTATCGCCACTATAGTCAATAGTCTCTTGTTATTGAATCCAGTATGTGACCCCTTCATTTACATTTTCAGTGTACGCAAATTTAGGGAAAGTGTTCGTGTTTTTGCGGTTAAGAACGCAGCGTTGAATTTGAGTACTGTCTCTAAATAGTAATCCAGTACAAAGCTTAGCCTGAGACTATTCAAAGGGGTATGACAAATTCCTCCTGAATTTATCAATATGTGCATATTAATGAAATGAAGTTAAATTTGAATACAAATTATTATGCGTAAGTTACTTAAGATTTTTCAACAATTTTTTTCATAAAATCAAAATGATATTCAGTACTCTCCATTGATGACGACAGCAATTTTGATACAACATTGCATATTTCTAATGCTCTTTTTTAAACTTTACAACGAAGGACATCGATAAACAAAATTGAAGGTTTTTTTTCTTATGAAAAACAATATACGCTTGATTTTCTATCAAATACTATA